TTCGTAATTTTTATTTTATTCCTGTATATAGTAATTCTTTATTTTTATTTTATTTTTGTACTTCGTAATTTTTTATTTTTATTTCATTTCTGTATTTTGTAAGTTTTTATTTTTGCTTTGTTTTTGTATTTTGTAATCTTTCATTTTTATTTTATTTTTGTATTCCGTAATTTTTTATTTTCATTTTCTTTTGTATTTGGTAAGTTTTTATTTTTACTTTGTTTTTGTATTTTGTAATTCTTTATTTTTATTTTTATTTTGTGTTTGCATGTTGTAATTCTGTATTTTGTAATTTTGTATTTCTACTTTGTTTTTGTACTTTGTAATTCTGTATTTTCACTTTGTTTTTACATTTCGTAATTTTTTATTTTTACTTTGTCTTTACATTTTGTAATATTCAGTAATTATTTAATTCTTCTATTTTGTAAGTTTTCATCTCTATTTTAACCTCGGTGTTCTTCCTTCCATTTATTTCGATCGCTCGAGTCTATTCCAGAGACACATTCGTACAAAACAATCGAATAAATAAATGCCGAGCAGTTCAAACGAACTCAGTGTTATTAGCTTCTTTTTATAATGCCGCGTGTGAGTCACTTTTATCGCTCGGTAGTTTCCATGTTGAAGAAAAAAAAGTAAAAAAAGAATAAAACGGAAAAAGACTTAGGAAAATCATAGCCGGCGAAGTGTACACACGATCGGGCAATTTGCAATGCAAAAGAACGCGTTATCGCCGTGAACGAGAGCGCCGTCGCCTTAGTTAGTATAAATTGAGATAGACGGACTGGTATGACTGGATCGAAGAATGAACCGCCGCGCGGCTCTTTCGCTGTGTTCCACGGGGGTAGCCGCCATTACACCCGTAATTATAAATATATATATACAGAGTGTCCCAAAAATGTCTCGCAATCCGAAAGTGATGGGTTCCTCGGATCATTTGAAGCAACTTCTTCCTTTACAAAAATGTTCTCCGAGGCACCGTTAACGAGTTATTAACGAAAAACAGTGACCAATAAGAATCGAGTACGGCTGACGCGAGGCGGCCCAGCCAACCAGCGCACGAAGCCCAGTTCCGCTCATTGGCTCGGTCGCCTCGCGCCAGCCGAGCTCGCCTCTCATTGGTCACTGTTTTTCGTTAATAACTCGTCAACGGTGCCTCGGAGAAAATTTTTGTAAAGGAAAAAGTTGCTTGAAATGACCCGAGGAACCCGCCACTTTCGGATTGTAAGACATTTTTGGAATTTCCTGTATATACGTATATCTGTATACATATAATCCACGGTTGTTAGCATTTACTATCGGAAAGGTAAACACAGCGGGAGCGATTCGAGTGATTCGAACGATCCGAGCGATTCGAGGGATTCGAGTTGCTCGCCGCGCGCTGCCGGCGCGCTCGTTGATCCGTTAATCCGTTAATAAGGGCACTCGAGCGACGAGGCGATAACAAAAATAAAGGTACCGGAGATAACGGCCGGCCATGATTACACGGTATTGCAAATACGATTATCGGTTCGATCGGCCGACAGAGCGACGGTCGGCGAAGCGCCGTGCCGTGCCGAGCCGCGGCACGGCGCGGGAACGGCGCGGGTCTCGGACAGAGACCGACGATCCTCGCGGCCCTCGATACGGAGAAGGACGCGGACAAAGAGGCGGCGATCGTTGATAAATGATTTATGCATGCCACTTGACTCTCATTAATGCTTACGGTCCCGATATGTTTGCGTCTATATCCTTTCGCGATGTTTACGAGCGCCCAGCGAGCACTTTTATGCCGGCGACTGGCCACCAACTCGATTCTTCGGCCTCGCGTCTTCGCGTTTCCGCGTTCGTCCTTCGCGCCGCGAAATATCGCGATCGAAATTCCTGCATCCGATCGTGCGAAATGTACTTTTGTTATTTTTGTTTGTTGGCATTATTTGTTGCACATTGTGCAATACTGTGCGAACTCATTAATCTTAACACTTTCATCGCCGCTGTCGCGTACCGCAACAATTTTAATTACGAAAATCGATTTTGTATCGTAATTACACTATTCATTTATTGTTTTCTCGAAATGTTGATCATTTCTTGTTTTTACGAAACGTTTTAGTAATCGAAGCACAGCGTATATTCGTTTGGAAACTAGTTCGAATGGTTTTTGTTTAAATTGTTTTAAAGTATATTTGTGCGAAAATGAGGTTAGAAATTGATTTTCGGTAGAGTTATTTGAAGAAAAAGCGAGTTTTGAGATTGATTCGCTGGACGATCATTTGGAAAGGAGTTTAAAAATTAAAAAGAAATATTGATTTATAGTACGTTTGTGAGAAAACAAGTTTAAAAATTGTTTTAAATATTTATTCACGGTAGAATCATGTGTGAAAACGAGTTCGAAAATTGTTTTAAAAATTGATTCAAGGTACAAACGTTTAAGAAAAATTTAAAAATTGATTTCCAGTACAACCATTTGAAAAAGCAAGTCTAAAAATTGTTTTAAAAATCGATGTACAGTACAATCATGAAAAAACAAGTTTAAAAATTGATTCACAATTCAATCTTCTGAAAACGAGTTCAAAAATTGTTTCAAAAATTGATTCAGAGTACAAACATAAAAAAAGAATGTAAAGATTGATTTTCAGTAGAATCATTTAAAAAAGCAAGTCCAAAAATTGTTTTAAAAATCGATGTACAGTACAATCACATAAAAACAAGTTTTAAAAAAAACTGATTCACAATACAATCGTGTGAAAAGGAGTTCAAAAATTCTTTTAAGAATTCATTCAGAATACAAACATCCAAAAAACGAATGTAAAACTTGATTTCCAGTACAATAATTCAAAAAAGCAAGTCCAAAAATTGTTTTAAAAATCGATGTACAGTACAATCACATAAAAACAAGTTTTAAAAAAAACTGATTCACAATACAATCGTGTGAAAAGGAGTTCAAAAATTCTTTTAAGAATTCATTCAGAATACAAACATCCAAAAAACGAATGTAAAACTTGATTTCCAGTACAATAATTCAAAAAAGCAAGTCCAAAAATTGTTTTAAAAATCGATGTACAGTACAATCATGAAGAAACAAGTTTAAAAATTGATTCGCAATACAATAATGTGAAAAGGAGTTTAAAAATTGTTTTAAAAATTGATTCAAAGTACAAACATCCAGAAAACGAATGTAAAAATTGATTTTCACTACAATAATTTGAAAAAGCAAGTCCGAAAATTGTTTTAAAAATTGATTTACAATACAATCATATGAAAACGAGTTTAAAAATTGATTCAGAGTACAAACATCCAGAAAACGAATGTAAAAATTGATTTCGAGTACAATAATTTAAAAAAGCAAGTCCGAAAATTGTTTTAAAAATTGATTCACAATACAATCATATGAAAACGAGTTTAAAAATTGATTCAGAGTGCAAACATCCAGAAAACGAATGTAAAAATTGATTTCGAGTACAATAATTTAAAAAAGTAAGTCCAAAGATTGTTTTAGAAATCAAAAGTACAGTACAACGACACGAGAACAAGTTTAAAAATCGATTCGCAGTGGAATCATGTGAAAAGGAGTTCAAAAATTGTTTTAAAAATTGATTCAGAGTACAAACATCCAGAAAACGAATGTAAAAATTGATTTTCACTACAATAATTTGAAAAAGCAAGTCCGAAAATTGTTTTAAAAATTGATTCACAGTACAATCATATGAAAACGAGTTTAAAAATTGATTCAGGGTACAAACATCCAGAATACGAATGTAAAAATTGATTTCCAGTAGAATAATCTAAAAAAGCAAGTCCAGAGATTGTTTTAAAAATCAAAAGTACAGTACAACGGCACGAGAACAAGTTTAAAAATTGATTCAAAATTGATTCAGTAGAATCATGTGCACTGGATCAGTGCGCTAGCAAATGAAAACGGTCTCGACGAACGGTATTAATTGGAACAGATTGGCGGCGGACAGGTCTCGCGATTCTAGACGCATTAAAATCATCGCGACTAGAAACGATACCGACAGCAGCTCGGCTTATCCGGCGGTTATAAAAAGCGCGGCGAGTGCCCCGTGGAAGCCAGTCCGCGACGGTTGTCACACAACGAGGCTGTCGCGGCCCGCAGGACCCCGTGACGTCAGCCTCTCCTTATCTCGGGAGGAGAGAGGGGGAGGGGAGACATTGTCGTGTTTAGCACCAACGCGTGTCCTATTTTCTCAGCGGCATTCTGTGCGTTTCTTACAGGTGTAAGCGGCGTCCGGTAATATTTATCGACGCACGTATTGCCGGACACGTGCCGCGGCCCGACGACGCTTTTTTCCCCTTAGATAAGACGATATACGGCCACGTCGGGGCCGAACAATTCCTTTCGCGTAGTCAATTACGGCGACACCGACCATCTTATTTTCAAACTAGTCGGCCGCGCGGTGATCCGTTGCCTCTATTTTACCGTTAACGGTGCCGAATACCGCGACCCCGAAAATCCCCGTAATATCGTGTTAAATTTAATTTAAATTTTATTTTAACTTAAATTTTTTAATTTAATTTAGCGGATATTTATGCGACATGAAAATTGTTCAAGGTTATATTGTGTTAAATATGGGTTAAACGGAAACGGTATTCTTTCGTTAGCGATTCTAATAAATTGAGAAGAATGCGGGAAATTTTCTTCAATTCTTTTCATTTTTTTCATTTTTTTCGTGTATTTTCAGTTTGATATCTTCCCCGGTTATTCGTGCAGAAATTAATATTAAACAATTAATTGCGAAGTATTTCAGCTGTTGAATATTTTCGAAAAAACAATACAACGATCTTGGAGTCTCCTAATATTTTTACTGCTTCGCTTTTCATCAATTTTTGCAATAAACGCATAAAGTATGTACGTTCGATTTCAATGATTTCTTCGGAAAGAAAGAGAATTATTGTGTGCTTACATTTATTTGACACACGTTTACTTTATATTTATTAATATATTGACATTTTGGAACAAGTCCGATAAAACACGGTATCGTTCGAAGGAAACATGCTACACTTACTGAAGTCCCCAGGACATGATTTGCAGCAACGGCCGGGAAGCAGAACGGGCTCGTTGCACGTCAATTTCGGGCATTCGTTCTTGATGTTCCTGCAATGCACCCTCGCGACGATCCGTCGTTTCTTCTGTACCTGGAACAAGGGAAGCGGAACGCGGCTGTTAGTCTATAGGTTATTCTGCAGGGTGTCCCGAAATTATGGTTCGGTACGGGGAATTAGAGGTTCCTGGGGTCATTTGAAGTAACTTTTTCCTTTACGAAAATGTTCTCCGAGGCATCGTTTATGAGTTATTAACGAAAAACACTGACCAATGAGAAGCGAGCTCGGCTGGCGCGAAGCAGTCGAGCCAACGAGCGCACGAAGACCAGTTCCGCTAATTGGCTCGGCCGCCTAGCGCCAGGCGAGCTCGTCTCTCATTGGTCACCGTTTTTCGTCAATAACTCGTAAACGAAGCGGCGGATTGAATTTGCGCTAAGGAAAAAGTTGCTTCAAATAATCCCAGAAATCTTTCATTTCCCGGAAGTACCATGATTTTGGGACATTATGTATATGTACTCTATATGTACTCTATATAGATTCTATATATATTCTATATGTATCCTATATGTATCCTATATGTATTCTATATGTATTTCAACTCTGCAATTATATTATAATATAATAGTCAACTGGAGGGTAGATAGAACGATAAGATAATAGGATGATCAGCGGCTCAGAAGGAAATTAAAACAGAGCCAAATCACAGAAAGAGATACATACTTAGCTATTTAAATAAACACGTCGAGATCAGAATTAGTTAGTCAAACGTAAGACAAGTTATTTTAATTGTATATTGAAATTTATAACGTAATTTTTAATTATTACTCTAATATTAACTGTATGGCAAGTTGTGAACGTGGTAACAAGGCATTGAAAGGCCAAGTACAATTTTTTGGTCACAGAAATATAGAATTATACGATGCAATTAAATTTATATATGTTGTATTTATAAACGTTGTATATATACAGGGTATCCCAAAAATGTCTCGCAATCCGGAGATCATTTGAAGTAATTTTTTAAAAGTTACACCAAGAAGTTACTTCTAAAGTTGCTTCGAAAGTTACTTAAAAAATTACTTCAAACGATCGCGAGATATTTCTGGGACACCCTCTATATTCTATATACCATAGCAATTACATATATTTCTTGTTCGATGTAGCTGTACACGTATACAGGTGTTACGTGTGTCTATACATATAATTATTCGTAAAATAAAACTTTAAAATGCCTTTTTCTTCATACTTCATTATTTATACAAATCTCAGTATTGCATTAGAACAGCGGAACGTAAATTAACCCTTTGCTCTCGAGTGGCGACTCTGAGGCACCACGAAAATTTGTTATATCACGTTTCAAGATAATCTTTATATTAACAAAATTTAGATTTAAAATTTGCTAAGAGTGCAATTATTGCGCGAACCCTATATATTTTCTAATATATTTATATATTTATATATTTTCTAACTTACAGTATTCCTATTATGCGCATAAAATGCATTTTGTCACGTATAATAGAAACACTGTAAGTTAGAAAAATGATTTTATATTTACAGTTAAAATATAAAATATAAATAGTGCAAAAACGCAGACCGTTATTATATAAAAAAGAAAGATTATTTTCAATTCTCGATTATATTCGAGTGTGAAAAATTATAGCAGCGTAAAATATAACGCCGCTCGAATTATCTCGAGTGTGCACAGTTTGGCCTGTTTAGCACGCTCGAATTAACTCGAGCGTACAAGTTAAGGGGTTAAAGAAACGCACCGGAACGACTTTTCGTCCTTGAGCCGGAGGAATTTCGCCACGAATCCCACTAGAACCGTGTTTCCAATCGAACAGATGTAATAGAAACAATTTCGAGCGTCGAAATCGACGAAATACACCCCGCCGTGCGTGCGGCCGCAATATGTTCGCGGGTTCTGTAAACGCGTTCACACATGTTTATTACCGCTTTACGCATCGCTGACGATCGTTGTAACGTTTACATACGCGGCACGCGATAAATCTATCGGCAAGTAATTGGTAGGTGTTATTGATCACAAAGGACTCGTTTATCACGGTCAATGGTGCGCCATTACCGGGGACACGATTTACGGTGTTCCGACGTAATATAAATTATTATTTAATGTCTTTGTCGCGATCGGCCACTTTCTACCGGGCCGGACGATAGCGGCGGGACCGGAAAAATAATCGGGTCCGAGGCGCTGACCATTCTAAGCCACGGTGTCAACGCGGTGGCGTTAAACCGTTCCGTGCCACGGCTACGGCACCTCTGATAAATCCGTGTTCCACCGAGTCCGCCGCTTTCCACCGGTAGATCCGTCGTTTCTAACCTGAATAAGCGTTTTGCATTCGGAACGTCTTACTTACGGCCCGCGGGACCGTTCTTTACGATACACTCGCGCGCCCCGGAGAGCGATTCAATGTGTGTCTGTGCACGCGCGCGCGCAGCTTTCTTTCGGTTATACTTTCGTTGCGTAATGAAAATCATACAGTTTCGCAATTTAATTAGATTGTATTTTAGTTGCACTGTAATTCAATTATGTTGATCATTTTAACCGCGAGCGTGATTCAAGTACGGTGTAATAGGAGTGTAATTGTACCTTGAATGCAATTTAATTTGAAGTAGAATGTACGTCAAATATAATGTAAATGAAATAGAATGTACTTTGAATGCAATTTAATTGAAATAGAATGTACTTCAAATACAATGTAATTGAAATTGTACTTTGAATGCAACTTAATTGAAATAGCATGTACTTCAAATACAATGTAATTGAAATTGTACTTTGAATAAAATTTAATTTCAAATGGAAAGTACTTGAAATACAATGTACTTTGAATGCAATTTAATTGAAATACAATGTACTTCAAATACAATGTAATTGAACTACAATGTACCTTGAATACAATTTAATTGAAATACAATTTAATTGAAATATAGTGTACTTCAAATATAATTTAATTGAAATAGAACGTACTTTAAATAGAATGTAATTGAAATACGATATACTACAAATACAATTTAATTTAAATAGAATGCATTTCAAATACAATATAATTGAAATAGAATGTACGTCAAATACAATGTAATTGAAATACAATGTGCTTTGAATACAATATAATTGAAATACACATATTTCGTGTACACATTTCTATCTCTCCTGCCTATTTTCTCCTCGATTACAGCCTATTAATTCGAGAAAAATATTCGCATTAAAATGTAAAGCACCAATTACATAATAGCTAATTTTACATTCACCCATAACGCTTTTCAGCGTTAGCTGTTAAGTTTCAGGTCTGAATTATGTTCTGTTATGCGAAAGGAGATGTCTTGAAGTCATAATAGACGTCCGCGGCACACCAATGCCGTAAATCTAACGTGATGGACGACTATTGTGACTCACGAGATATTTTTTCTTTCGAAAACCAACCACAATTTAGAGTCGATCTTAAACGCCGTTTCCACCGTCGTTCTCTTCGCGAATCTCTTCTTCTGCTATTATTTGTGTGAACTTTCGAACGTCTTCGGCGTTCGCGTTGATTTTTAACGAACGCAATCGTGTAGCAATAATTTTTACACGCTGCGACGAATACGCGGGGAAAAAATAAGGCTTCGGCTAGAACAATTACGTGCACCATGTACAGTAATGTCTCCCTAATTGACGCTCAGATTGTGCAGAAAAGTGGAAAATTTGGGAAGTGGAGATACGATTATCAGAGCCTTGTAGCTTGTTTTTTTTATAGTTGTTGACAATTCGTAACTATAAGAACAAGCTACAAGGCTCGAATAATCGTGTCTCCTCTTCCCAAATTGTCCATTTTTGTGGACAATCTGAGCGTCGATTAGAGAGACATTGCTGTAATCTGAGCGTCAATTAGAGAGACATTGCTGTAATCTGAGCGTCAATTAGAGAGACATTACTGTAACCTGAGCGTCAATTAGAGAGACATTACTGTAATCTGAGCGTCAATTCGAGAGACATTACTGTGCAATAAATTCTCACTAATTGACGCTCAGCTTTGGAACAAAAATGGAAAATTTGGGAAGTGGAGATGCGATTATTCGAGCTTCGCAGCTCGTTCTTATAGTTATTAACAATCGATAATCATAAAAAACGAATCACAAGGCTCGAACAATCGTTCGCAAAACTCTTCCCAAATTGTCCACTTCTGTAAACAATCTGAGCATCGATTAGAGAGACATTACTGTAGTATGTTCTAATGAATAGTCGCAAAAAAGAAAGAATGCGTTCCAACAGGCAATAGCGCGCGCGGCGATACGTTGTAATGAATAGTTTCGCGGGAATACGTTTCAACGGAACGATCAAATAGCGATACATTGTAATTGATAGTCGTGTACTAATACGTTCTAATGGATACCCGCGTAAACGTACGTTTTAACGGACAGTCACCGCCATTACGTTCTAATGTATCCCGACGTATTAGTACGTTCTAAATGAACAGGTACGCGGTAATACGCCCTGACAGTTAACTACGTCGTAATACCTTTCAATAAATCCGCCGCATACTGATATCATCTGTTAACAAACAACAACTACGTAGTAGTGCCGCCTGAACGAAGAAAACTACATTTTACTATGTTACGTAAGGAAATTACGTCAGCAGACGGATGAGACACATCGGTTGAAATATCGAACGATTGTTTCATTTGTTTATTATTCCGAACACGCGATAACTGCTTTTAACAACGTGCCTGGAAATCGACCGGCGATACTGAATCTCAGAAATCGCGCGTGATCGCGAAAGAGAAAATTATTCGTGCGAAATAACTCGATTCTAAGATTATATTGTTAATAGATGTTCTTATATATTTTTAATTGAGATTTAAATTGTCATACATACATATATATTTATATTATTATTATATATTTATATTATATACTTTTAATGAAAATTTAAATTCTAATGTATTTTCAATAGAAAGTTAAATTGTGATATATTTTTAATAGAAAGTTAAGTTAAATTGTAATATATTTTTAATCGAAATTTAAAAATTGTGATATATGTATAATAGAAATTTAAGTTGAAATATATTTTTAATAAAAGTTAAATTGTAATATATTTTTA